CCCCGTGGCGAGAGCCCGGATTTGGGGGTTTCCTGAGCCCTGATGACACAAATTTGGGTGTCCTTCAGGACCACCAGTGTCCCCTTGTGCGAGACAGGGGCCGACAACTCCAAATCCTTCAGTCCAACTTCACCCTCTTTTATTTAGCCCCTTCTGGATGGTGGTTTTTTCCAATTATCACTGTTTATTTTTACTGCGAGGCAAGAGATTTGGTGCCAGCCCCGTGGCGAGAGCCCGCATTTGGGGGTTTCCTGAGCCCTGATGACACAAATTTGGGTGTCCTTCAGGACCACCAGTGTCCCCTTGTGCGAGACAGGGGCCGACAACTCCAAATCCTTCAGTCCAACTTCACCCTCTTTTATTTAGCCCCTTCTGGATGGTGGTTTTTTCCAATTATCACTGTTTATTTTTACTGCGAGGCAAGAGATTTGGTGCCAGCCCCGCGGCGAGAGCCCAGATTTGGGGGTTCCCTGAACCCTGATGACACGAATTTGGGTGTCCTTGAGGACCACCAGTGTCCCCTTGTCGGCCCCTGTCTCGCACAACTCCAAATCCCTCAGTCCAACTTCACCCTCTTTTATTTAGACCCTTCTGGAGGGTGTTTTTTTCCAATTATCACTGTTTATTTTTACTGTGAGGCAAGAGATTTGGTGCCAGCCCCGCGGCGAGAGCCCAGATTTGGGGGTTCCCTGAACCCTGATGACACGAATTTGGGTGTCCTTGAGGACCACCAGTGTCCCCTTGTCGGCCCCTGTCTCGCACAACTCCAAATCCCTCAGTCCAACTTCACCCTCTTTTATTTAGACCCTTCTGGAGGGTGTTTTTTTCCAATTATCACTGTTTATTTTTACTGTGAGGCAAGAGATTTGGTGCCAGCCCCGCGGCGAGAGCCTGGATTTGGGGGTTTCCTGAGCCCTGATGACACGAATTTGGGTGTCTTTGAGGACCACCAGTGTCCCCTTGTGTGAGACAGGGGCCGAGCCTTCCTCACAGCTCCAAATCCTTCAGTCCAACTTTGCCCTCTTTTATTTAGACCCTTCTGGAGGGTGTTTTTTCCCAGTTTTCACTGTTTATTTTGAAGTAAGAGAGGGGAAAAGTGAAGTATTGCAGCATTTCGAGCCCGTCACCTGCAGGAGTGGCCAAATTCCTGACAGGTCTCGGGGCATTATCAGCCTCTAAACGTGGACTTCGCTGCCTCAACGCCCTCTGATACCTCCTGGGTGGAGCTGAAGGTAAACAAGGCAGCAAACACGCAACTCTCCTCCTGGAACAGGAAGGAAACAATAAATTCAGTGGCAGAAAAGCTGTAATTTGGGAGATGGGAGTGGAAAATCACCTCCACCTGAGGGTGTCCTGGTGTCTCCGTGCCCCGTGTGACGAGTGACCGCGTCGTTTGGGGACCTGGTGGCTCCTTTTTCCTGTCCCTCTCCGAGGTGGCCCCACTTTGGGGTTAATCTCACCTCCTAAAACGACGACGAGGTGCCCGTAACACCTTTGTTTGGACACGGGGCTGGGGCCAAACTGCGGGGGTGTGAGGGGGGAGGAGGCCATGGTGAGGATTAGATTCACCATCCCCACCACTGACTGCTCCTGCTCTCCATTGGTGCCGTGAGGATGAGGAGGAAAGGCTGGGGGTGATGAAGGTTCCCCTCCCCAGCGCTCGCCTGCGAAGGTGAGGGGGTGTTTTTCATCCCCCGAGGGGCAAAGGGGGTGAAAAGAAGGGAAACGACTTGCTCCTGGGGTGTGAGAGTGGTAGAAACAATACCCTGGGCCATGAAAATTGCAGAAATTAAAAAAAAAAAACACCCAAAATATGAGATTTTTGAGTAATTTGGTCCCTTTCGCTCGGCTCCATCGCTGTGCTGAGTTTTGTTTGGCCCCAGCCTGGGTAGACCTTCCCTAACAATACCCTGGGCCACGAAAATTGCAGAAATTATAAAAAAAACCACCCAAAATATGAGGGTTTTGAGTAATTTGGTCCTTTTTGCTCGGCTCCATCGCTGCGCTGAGTTTTGTTCAGCCCCAGCCTGGGTAGACCTTCCCTTTCCCTTTTTTCTCCTGGGGCTTGAGAGTGGCAAAAATAATACCCTAAGCCAAGAAAATTGCAGAAATTAAAAAAAAAAACCACCCAAAATATAAGGTTTTTGAGTAATTTGGTCCCTTTCACTCGGCTCCATCGCTGCGCTGAGTTTTGTTCGGCCCCAACCAGTCCGTGGCACTGGTCCCAGTTTGGCCAGGGGTGAAACCAGCAGGTACAGGCTTGGCTTGTTGATCAGCTTTCTCTTCCCTCCAGGATCTCACTTTTTTTTTCCCCCCCCCAGCCCCCAAAAAATGCTCGAAGGAACAAAATGACCTGGAAAAGGCTCGGAAAGCGATCCAACTTCACCCTCTTTTATTTAGCCCCTTCTGGATGGTGGTTTTTTCCAATTATCACTGTTTATTTTTACTGTGAGGCAAGAGATTTGGTGCCAGCCCCATGGCAAGAGCCTGGATTTGGGGGTTCCTTGAGCCCTGGTGACACGAATTTGGGTGTCTTTGAGGACCACCAGTGTCCCCTTGTGTGAGACAGCTCCAAAGCCTTCAGTCCAACTTCACCCTCTTTTATTTAGACCCTTCTGGAGGGTGTTTTTTTCCAATTATCTGTTTATTGTTACCGCTCTGTCCGTGCGAGGCAAGAGATTTGGTGCCAGCCCCGCGGCGAGAGCCCGGATTTGGGGGTTTCCTGAGCCCTGATGACACAAATTTGGGTGTCCTTCAGGACCACCAGTGTCCCCTTGTGCGAGACAGGGGCCGACAACTCCAAATCCTTCAGTCCAACTTCACCCTTTTTTATTTAGACCCTTCTGGAGGGTGTTTTTTTCCAATTATCACTGTTTATTTTTACTGTGAGGCAAGAGATTTGGTGCCAGCCCCGCGGCGAGAGCCTGGATTTGGGGGTTTCCTGAGCCCTGATGACACGAATTTGGGTGTCTTTGAGGACCACCAGTGTCCCCTTGTGTGAGACAGGGGCCGAGCCTTCCTCACAGCTCCAAATCCTTCAGTCCAACTTTGCCCTCTTTTATTTAGACCCTTCTGGAGGGTGTTTTTTCCCAGTTTTCACTGTTTATTTTGAAGTAAGAGAGGGGAAAAGTGAAGTATTGCAGCATTTCGAGCCCGTCACCTGCAGGAGTGGCCAAATTCCTGACAGGTCTCGGGGCATTATCAGCCTCTAAACGTGGACTTCGCTGCCTCAACGCCCTCTGATACCTCCTGGGTGGAGCTGAAGGTAAACAAGGCAGCAAACACGCAACTCTCCTCCTGGAACAGGAAGGAAACAATAAATTCAGTGGCAGAAAAGCTGTAATTTGGGAGATGGGAGTGGAAAATCACCTCCACCTGAGGGTGTCCTGGTGTCTCCGTGCCCCGTGTGACGAGTGACCGCGTCGTTTGGGGACCTGGTGGCTCCTTTTTCCTGTCCCTCTCCGAGGTGGCCCCACTTTGGGGTTAATCTCACCTCCTAAAACGACGACGAGGTGCCCGTAACACCTTTGTTTGGACACGGGGCTGGGGCCAAACTGCGGGGGTGTGAGGGGGGAGGAGGCCATGGTGAGGATTAGATTCACCATCCCCACCACTGACTGCTCCTGCTCTCCATTGGTGCCGTGAGGATGAGGAGGAAAGGCTGGGGGTGATGAAGGTTCCCCTCCCCAGCGCTCGCCTGCGAAGGTGAGGGGGTGTTTTTCATCCCCCGAGGGGCAAAGGGGGTGAAAAGAAGGGAAACGACTTGCTCCTGGGGTGTGAGAGTGGTAGAAACAATACCCTGGGCCACGAAAATTGCAGAAATTATAAAAAAAACCCACCCAAAACATGAGGCTTTTTGAGCAATTTGGTCCCTTTCGCTCGGCTCCATCGCTGCGCTGAGTTTTGTTTGGCCCCAGCCTGGGTAGACCTTTCCCTTTTTTCTCCCGGGGTGTGAGAGTGGCAGAAACAATACCCTGAGCCATGAAAATTGCACAAATTAAAAAAAAAACCACCCAAAATATGAGGGTTTTGAGTAATTTGGTCCCTTTTGCTCGCCTCCATCGCTGCGCTGAGTTTTGTTCAGCCCCAGCCTGGGTAGACCTTCCCTTTCCCTTGTTTCTGCCACTCTCACACCCCGGGAGAAAAAATACCGTGAGCCACGAAAATTGCAGAAATTAAAAAAAAAACCCACCCTAAATGTGAGGCTTTTGAGTAATTTGGTCCCTTTCGCTCGGCTCCATCGCTGCGCTGAGTTTTGTTCAGCCCCAGCCTGGGTAGACCTTCCCTTTCCCTTTTTTCTCCTGGGGTGTGAGAGTGGCAGAAACAATCCCCTGAGCCACGAAAATTGCAGAAATTAAAGAAAAAAGCACCCGAAATATGAGGTTTTTGAGTAATTTGGTCCCTTTCGCTCAGCTCCATCGCTGCGCTGAGTTTTGTTCAGCCCCAGCCTGGGTAGACCTTCCCTAACAATACCCTGGGCCACGAAAATTGCAGAAATTATAAAAAAAACCACCCAAAATATGAGGGTTTTGAGTAATTTGGTCCTTTTTGCTCGGCTCCATCGCTGCGCTGAGTTTTGTTCAGCCCCAGCCTGGGTAGACCTTCCCTAACAATACCCTGGGCCACGAAAATTGCAGAAATTATAAAAAAAACCACCCAAAATATGAGGGTTTTGAGTAATTTGGTCCTTTTTGCTCGGCTCCATCGCTGCGCTGAGTTTTGTTCGGCCCCAACCAGTCCGTGGCACTGGTCCCAGTTTGGCCAGGGGTGAAACCAGCAGGTACAGGCTTGGCTTGTTGATCAGCTTTCTCTTCCCTCCAGGATCTCACTTTTTTTTTCCCCCCCCCAGCCCCCAAAAAATGCTCGAAGGAACAAAATGACCTGGAAAAGGCTCGGAAAGCGACTCCGAAAAGTGTTGTAAAAGGAGTGGGTGCCCTTGGGAAACACAGGGGTTTTTCTTGCAAATAATGCCACAAAATCCACATTTTTGGGGACGTCAGGGTGGGATGTTGATGGTGATAAAAGAAAATAAGCATTTTAAAGAGGTATTTTTGGGCTGGGGTTTGATCTCTCTCGCTCTCCTCGGCAGATATTATTACAACAAGAGGATCCTCCACAAGACGAAAGGCAAAAGGTTCACCTACAAGTTCAACTTCAACAAGTTGGTGATGCCCAACTACCCCTTCATCAACATTCGGCCTAACGGTGAGTTTTGGGGGGGTGGGGGATTTTATTTTTTGGGGGGGGAACGACTGCTTTTAACCCTTTTTTATGCTGGGGATGGACCCACAGATCCCTATCGCTGCCCCCCCAGCGCTTCAAAAGCCGATGGGACAATCAGAGGGAACGTCTGATAAAACCTTATCTGGTTTTTTTTTTCCCCCTCCCTGTCTCCTCTCGGGGCTGGGGGGGGGAGAAACTGGGGGGATTTGGGTTTCCTATTTGAACTGGTTTGTTGGCTCAGCTTTGCTCAGCCCCCGGGGGGGTGGGGGTGTCCTTGGGATAAGCGGATTTTTAGGTCTCTTGCCTCACTCCCAAGCTCGTAACGTCGCTTTATGGGGCCATAGAAATGTGACCCTTTGGTGACAAGGAGCTCTGGGAGGGGGGGGGACACTATACGTGGCCAGGCCCTTGGAAAATTCATAGTTTAAGAGCAATTTTCTCTCCTCCTCCCCCCAAAAAAGCCCCCGGTTTGCTCCTTTTCTCCCAAAAAGGGGGAATCTAATAACAAGCGCGGAGAAGGAGTGATTTCTCCGAGTTTGACCAAAATTGTTAGATATTTCTCGATTCTCCCCTGCATCAGAACAACAAAAAAGAGTGGGAATGGAGCAGAATCGTTCCATTCTCCTCCTAAAAACCCTCCCAGTCTCTTGCTGGGAGCAGGAGTTGGGTCTGGGTTCATCCCAGACTCCCGAAAATGCTGCTGGTTTCTTTGGAAAAAGATCTTTTATTTGCGAGATCCTGGGTTTTTTTGGTGGAGTTTTGGATCCCTCTTATTTTTTTGGAAGTCTGGATTTCTAATGGAGCAGAATCATTCCCTTTTCCTCTAAAAAGCCTCCCAGTCCTTTGTTGGGAGCAGGAGTTGGGTCTGGGTTCATCCCAGACTCCCAGAACCGCTGCCGGTTTCTTTGGAAAAGGATCTTTTATTTGCGAGATCTTATTTTTTTTTGGTTTTTTTTGGTGGAGTTTTGGACACCTATTATTTTTTTGGAAGTCTGGATTTCTAATGGAGCAGAATCATTCCCTTCTTTTCCTAAACACCCTCCCAGTCTCTTGCTGGGAGCAGGAGTTGGGTCTGGGTTCATCCCAAACTCCCAAAACCGCTGCTGGTTTCTTTGGAAAAGGATCTTTTATTTGCGAGATCCTCTTTTTTTGGTTTTTTTTTTTGGTGGAGTTTTGGATCCCTCTTATTTTTTTGGAAGTCTGGATTTCTAATGGAGCAGAATCATTCCCTTCTCCTCCTAAAAACCCTGCCAGTCTCTTGCTGGGAGCAGGAGTTGGGGCTGGGTTCATCCCAGACTCCCAAAACTGCTGCTGGTTTCTATGGAAAAGGATCTTTTATTTGCAAGATCCTGGGGGGGGTTTTTTGTGGTGTTTCCCCAAAGCACGAGCGTTTCTCATCTCGTGTCGCCTCTGCCCACGGCTGGCGGCGGCTGCTCCTCCGTTTTATTTTTTGCTGCTTTGAAGCCACCTTCATCCCTCCTCCCCATCCTCGGGGGGGGGGAAAAATAGTCCCAGGCGGGCGCCAGGGCGAGTAATACCTCAAGGGATTGTCTTCTGAGCAGAAAAAAAACCCCAAAAGGAGGGTGGGGGGAGAAGAGAATTTGTCCTAAAGGTGGTTTTTCTTCACGGGGTGGGGGGAAACGCCGCCTTAAAGGCTGCGGGGAGAGGGAAATCTATTCTCCTGGGATCTATTCTCCTGGAATCCATTTTTTGGGAATCTATTCTCCAGGAATCTGTTCTTTGGGAATCTCTTCTCCGGGAGGCCTTTTAGCCGGAGCGCGGGGGTGGAAGATGTAGACGGGAGCCGCGCGGTAAATCTATAATTACTTGCAGCGACGAGTCCGGGCAGTTCCAGCTCGATATTGCTCCGTGCTGGGTTCTCTTTTTTTTTTCCTCCCCCCTCCTCCTCGGTTGCAGCCACTCCCTCCTATCTCTGGGGCATTTAAAAAAAAAAAAAAAAAGAAAGAAAAATAGAAAGAAGTTTGGAGAACTGGAATGCGCCGGGCTAATTACAACCTGTTTTCTTCCCTTCTGGCTCAGCATTGGGGGTTGGGAGAGCCCCAACCTGTTTGGGGCGCTGGAATTTGGGTTTTTTGAGGGTTTTTTTTTATGGGGGAAAGTGGGGCGCCCGGTGGAAGGTGAGAAAAGCTGGTGGAGGAATTGGCCTCTCGTTACGGCACGAGCTGAGCCGGAGCCAGGCGGCTCCGTGGGCACGGCGCTGGAAGAGCTGGCAGGAAAAACCTTCCAGAAAAGACACGTCTTCCCAGAAAAAAAAAAAGAAAAGCCCAAATCAGTGATTTATATTTATTTTTTTAGTCAGCCTCGAGAGCTGGAGGTGGCGTTGGAGCTTGATGGCTTCACCGCGCCCTCCCCAAACCTTTTGGTGGGTAAAGCAGAGCGGGGAAGGTCAGGGGAGGGCAGGAGAAAGTGGAGGTTCTTCTGGTGGTGCTGGAGGTTGAGGGAACCTCAGTTGGGGTGGAGAGAGGAGAAGCTTCAGCCCCAGCAATGGAGAGGATTTGAGGTGGGAAGAGGAGAAGTTTCAGCCCCGTCAGTTGGGGAGGTTTTGGGGTGGAGAGAGGAGAAGACAGAGGCTCCAACCCCATAAGCCAGGGAGGATTTGAGGTGGGAAGAGGAGAAGTTTCAGCCCCGTCAGTTGGGGAGGTTTTGGGGTGGAGAGAGGAGAAGACAGAGGCTCCAACCCCATAAGTTGGGGAGGATTTGAGGTGGGAAGAGGAGGGAGGAGAAGCTTCAGCCCCATCAGCTGGGAGATTTGAGGGGGACAGAGGAGAAGTTTCATCCGCATCAGTTGGGGAGGGTTTTGAGGTGGGAAGAGGAGAAGCTTCATCCCCAGCAATGGTGAGGTTTTGAGGTAGACAGAGAAGAGGAGGAGAAGCTTCATCCCCATCAGTTGAGGAAGGTTTTGAGGTGGGATGAGGAGAAGCTTCATCCCCAGCAACAGTGAGATTTTGAGGTGGGCAGAGGAGAAGAGGAGAAGCTTCATCCCCATCAGTTGGGGAGGATTTGGGATGAAGAGAGGAAGGAAGAGAATCTCCAGCCCCAGCAATGGGGAGGATTTGAGGTGGACAGAGGAGAAAAGGAGAAGCTTCAACCTCATCAGTTGAGGAGGTTTTGAGGCAAGAAGAGGTGAAGCTTTGGCCCCATCAGTTGGGGAGTTTTTGAGGTGGAGAGAGGAGGGAAGAGAAGCTTCATCCCCATCAGTGGGGAAATTTGAGGTGGGAAGAGGAGAAAGGAGAAGCTTCATCCCCAGCAACAGGGAGGTTTTGAGGTGGAGAGAGGAGAGAAAGGCTGTAACCCCAGCAGGGTTAGATTTGAGGTGGGAAGAGGAGAAGCTTCATCCCCGACAGTGGGAAGGATTTGAAGTGAAGAGAGGAGGGAAGAGAAGCTCCAGACACAGAAGCGAGAGGATTTGAGGTGGGAAGAGGAGAAGCTTCATCCCCGACAGTGGGAAGGATTTGAAGTGAAGAGAGGAGGGAAGAGAAGCTCCAGACACAGAAGCGAGAGGATTTGAGGTGGGAAGAGAAGAGAGGAGAAACTCCAGGAGCAGGAGGATTTGAGGTGGGAAGAGCAGAAGAAGAGAAGCTCCGGTCGTAGGAGCAGGAGGATTTGAGGTGGGAAGAGGTGAGAGGAGAAGCTCCAGGAGCAGGAGGATTGAGGTGGGAAGAGCAGAAGAAGAGAAGCTCCAGTTGTAGGAGCAGGAGGATTGAGGTGGGAAGAGGAGAAGCTCCAGGAGCAGGAGGATTGAGGTGGGAAGAGGAGAAGCTCCAGTTGTAGGAGCAGGAGGATTTGAGGTGGGAAGAGGTGAGAGGAGAACCTCCAGGAGCAGGAGGATTGAGGTGGGAAGATAAGAGAAGCTCCAGTTGTAGAAGCAGGAGGATTGAGGTGGAAAGAGGAGAGAGAAGAAGCTCCAGGAGCAGGAGGATTTGAGGTGGGAAGAGGAGAGCAGAAGCTCCAGGAGCAGGAGGATTGAGGTGGGAAGAGCAGAAGCTCCAGGAGCAGGAGGATTGAGGTGGGAAGAGCAGAAGCTCCAGGAGCAGGAGGATTGAGGTGGGAAGAGAAGAAGCTCCAGAAGCAGGTTTTGAGGTAGCAAGAGGAGAGAGGAGAAGCTCCAGTTGTAGGAGCAGGAGGATTGAGATGGGAAGAGGAGAAGCTCCGGGAGCAGGAGGATTTGAGGTGGAAAGAGGAGAGAGAAGCAGCTCCAGGAGCAGGATTGAGGTGGGAAGAGGAGAGAGGAGAAGCTCCAGACGCAGGAGCAGGAGGATTTGAGGTGGAAAGAGGAGAGAGAAGCTCCAGAAGCAGGAAGATTTGAGGAGGGCAGAGCAGAAGAAGAGAAGCTCCAGCTGTAGGAGCAGGATTTGAGGTGGAAAGAGCAGAAGAGAAGCTCCAGTTGTAGGAGCAGGAGAATTGAGGTGGGAAGAGGAGAGAGGAGAAGCTCCAGGAGCAGGAGGATTTGAGGTGGGAAGAGGAGAGAGGAGAAGCTCCAGGAGCAGGATTGAGGTGGGCAGAGCAGCAGAGCAGATGGGGAAGGCCCCTCCCATCTCCCCGTCTGCCGCCTTGTTGATGGTATTTTTCTGTTACTCTTCCAAACGCCTGCGGGTTGGGCCCGAAAAGCAGCTCTACCTGGGATTTAACTCCCTCGGCGACGGCAGTTTTAACTCTCTCCCATCCTTTTTCTCTCTTTTTCTCTCTTTTTTTCCCCTTTTTTTCCTCCCTCTCCCAGGTGTGGTCCCGCAGAGCGCTCCCCCCGTCCCCACCGCCTCGTCCCGTTTCCATTTCCCACCTCTGGACGGCCACTCTCCCACCGAAGATGCCCAACCTTCTCGTTTCTCCGGCGGTTCCTTGATCCCTTCCAACCCGGAGGGACTGGGGGAAGGAGGCGAAAGGAAACCAGAAATTCCAGAGCTGGAGGACGGCACCTCGGATTGGCGCCGGGGGGTGGATCTCATGGCTTCCCGGAACGCCGTGGGGGCCGGCGGTGGAGGTGGAGGTGGTGGTGGTGGTGGTGGCATCAACCATCAGAAACGCAAACCCGAGATCATGCTCCCACTTTTCACCCGCCCCGGGATCTACCCGGATCCTCACAGCCCTTTCGCCGTCTCCCCTCTGCCGGGGCGCGGGGGGGTCCTCAACGTTCCCATCTCGCCGGCTTTATCCTTGACCCCCACCCTTTTCTCCTACAGCCCCTCGCCGGGGCTCAGCCCCTTCACGGGGAGCAGCTGCTTCTCTTTCAACCCCGAGGAGATGAAACACTACCTGCACTCCCAAGCCTGCTCCGTCTTCAACTACCACCTGAGCCCGCGGACTTTCCCCCGCTACCCGCTCATGGTGCCACCACTACAGTGCCAGGTCCCCCCCCTGGAAGAACAACCCCAGTTCCCCATCAAGCTCCAACCACCCCCCGTGGGGCGTAAAAACCGGGAGAGACTGGAAAGCGCCGAAGAAGCGGTCACCACCCCCCATTTGGCTTCTCCTCCTCCTCCTCCTCCTCCTGCTCCTCCGAGGGTCAAGGTGGAACCCGTCGTGGAGAAGGAGGTGGAAGCCCAAGAAGCGAAAGGCAAAGAGAAAAACGAGATGGAGGAAAATGGCGGAGAAGAGGAGAAAGGAGGCATCTTTGCCAGACCCGTGGCACCTTCTTGGTCCACCCACCCGGCGCCGCCGCCGTCGGCCCCCGGTTCCTCGGCCGAGGAACCTCAGGAGCAAGGGGAGAGAGCACCTGGTGGTGGGGAAGCTCAGGAGAAGAGAGAGGACGCCCTGATGCCCCCCAAGCTGCGGCTCAAGCGCCGCTGGAACGGTGACCGCCAGGGAGACCTCCCCCCCGAGGAAAGGCCCAACGGCCGCCTCCACTGGAACGGGGGGCTGGC